ACAAACAGAGACACACATACAGACACAGACACACACAGAGACACAGATACACAAACAGAGACACACACACACGCACATGCACTCATATGTGCATGCATGTGCACACACACCCACAGGTTGGGGAATGAAAATAAAAAAAATTTCTTCATTATTCATGTTTATTTCTGTGCTGTTTCTCATTTTAGATCCAAAGTGATACAGGAACTTGGGAAATCTAGGCAAAAATTAATCAAATAGAAGTTAAAGCTATCAACCCAGAAAAGAAGGAGAGCTCCTCTCGGCCTGGGTAAGTTTGGGATCGTAGAAATTGCAACTGTGAATGCCTTCTCCTTTGTTTGGAAATATTGAGCTGGCCTCAAACTCCCCCTATATTCTAGAGCAATCTTAACACACACACACACACACACACACACACACACACACACACACACACCGCCTCTCCCTCCCAAGTGCTGGGACCCCAGGTGTGTTACTGTCTACTGTGCCTGGTTTATGGAATGCTGGAGGTTGAAGTCAGGTTGAAGCTTCATCCATGCTTGGTAATGCTCATGAATTTTATACAGAATTATCAGGAGAAAAGTGTTCTAATATCCACGACTATCTATAACTATCCAACAAGTACTTGCAAGCCAATTCTGTATTATTAAATGGGTTCACGAAGCCAGGCAGCTACTGTTGCTTTTTAGAGAACTTACTGTCCTAAGAGAGAAAAATGGTAGATAAAAATTTTTATTATTTTTTCCTTTTCTTTAGAATGAGTGAGCGTTGATTTTTTTTTTTTAGAGGCTCCATGAGCCACCAACTAATGTGCAGTGAGCACCAACTAAGCGCAAACATTGTTCCAGGCATGGCTGGATGAGCGCAACAAAGCTTCCCACCCTGTGGAAGCTACCCTGCAAGAAGGGAGGACAGAGAGTGAGATGGGGCCCATATTAGGCCAATACTGTTGATGTTCCAAGGGCAGAGGTGGTAGTGGGGTGTGGGGGGGGATGACCTTTGATCTGGGACTTAAACTGCTGGAAAGAGAACAAAGAAATAGAGGGGAAGGAGCTCCAGATTAGAAGATTAATGTCTAAAAGGGCAGAGAGGGAAGAAACTGCAGGGCCCTGTCTCACCAAGAGATGGAGGTGTCAGATACAAGGGTGTTCAGGAAGGGAGAGAGGGAGAGAGGGAGGGAGGGAAGGAAGGAGAGGGAAAGAGGGAAGAGAAGGGAAGTGAGAAGAGGAAGCAAAGCTCCAGCAGGAAGGAGGGAGGGAGCCTGAGGAGAACAGGTAAAGGCCTGAATACTGTGAGAAAAGCAAGGATAAGCTGGCAAGGCCGAGACAGAGGTCAGCAGGAACCACAGATGGCTCAGCTGAGCTTGCAGGTTCTCTTCTCTGACGGTGTCCTGAGGGTTGTGTTCTCCCTAGCACTGCTCAGCCACTGTGTGCGGCACAAAGAGCTGCAATGCCTTCCTGAGTTGAAGGTTACAGCTGGAAGCCAGCAGGGGGCAAAGACGGCCTTGGTGCCCAGCTGTCCCACCTAGGGTGCAGGCAGGAAGGAGTGAATCATGAGGGACTAGAGATAAAGAACAGGCTTCCTGGAGTTAAAAATCAAGTGTGCAAACAGGAGAACCTGAATAAAAAACAACACCACGTCCAGGACCTGGGGTTAACATTCCGAGACAAAGTTTCTGAGTCAGCTCCGATTCTATGAGACTTTATACAGTATGCTCTTCCTAAGGATGCTGGGCTGGAGGAAAAGGCTTTGCCCTTTATAGCAAGCATAATTAAAAAGATAATGCTTGGACTTGTAGAAGGATATAAAAGAGCAAATAAATTTGCTGTGAAGCCATGAGGACAGATAAAGAGCTGAGATTGAGGGGTGTGGGGAGACTACCACCCAATCTCAGAAAAATAACAAGAAACTAAAATCCAACAGCAACAGCAGAAACTAAAAGAACTACCTTTTCCCTCTCAAAACTGAAGCCAAAATGAGAACCAAATGAAGCTCTAAAAGAAACCTGCATTCCCCTTTCATGACCCGGTTCGGATGCTGAACTCCATCTTAAGTGGTTCCTTAGTAACTTCTCTCAGGTCCCAACAGTTACTCATTACCCAGTGGCTGGACTCACATCCTTACAGGGGTTCAGCACGCAGTCTCTTGTTTTCCTTCCCTCCTCTCTGCACAGTACCTGGCTGCTCCCTTGAGCTTTATAATCCCAGACGATAATGGTCCTCTCTGTAGTGGCAACGATTCGCTTTAGCTGGCCCAGGTAATCACAGCCCGTGATCCAGGAGGTATCCTGATAGAAAAGCACACAGTTGGAGGCAGTAGGGCTAAGAATGATGCAGCAGTAGTAGAGCACTTGCCTAGTGTGCACCAGGCTCTAGGGTCAGTCTCCAGTAACTCGAGACATAGGGGATGGGGATGGGGAAATACCTCAAGGTATTGGAAGAAAGTTACTGACATTAGAAATCACATGTGGTAGCAGAGCCTACAGTGCATCTCCTTGGAGTGGCATACGGAAAGGAATAGGGTCCCTCCATTCTGCCTTGTTTCTCAGTACCTGTAGCTGGAGACTGATTCATATAACGTGGGAATTGTTCCTTAGAAGACCGGGATGGCTGGACAAGCTGTCAGCTTTTCACCGTTCACGTCCACGGGGCCATCTATTTCCATGGGCAGCTAAAAGCAGGGCTCTGATTAAACAAGTTCTCCAGCCCTGCTGCCTGCTAATGCTTTCATCTAGAAAAGCCCTTAGTGATCAGCCATCTATCTGGTCTTAAACTGAGGCTCATCGCCTCTCTTGGGTCTCAGCTCAAGTTTGGAATCTTTAACAGCACCAATGGAAAAAGCAGACTGGGTTGCCTGGAGTGTCGGAAACGTGTGTGCACGTGAATCTTCCATAAAACCACCAGGAACCCAATGGGGTTGTTCCATTACAGAAACAGAGGCTGAGAAGTTTAACAAGAACTGGGGCTTCTAGACCAGGTAGTGTGTTGTCTCTTGGTAGTTTAGTGAATGCTGGATACATGCAAACAGGGAGAAAAAAAAAAAAAAAAAACCTCCAGCATCCCTGCATCTCTCATAAATCGTCAGGGTAGGGGTGCGAGTGGACCACAAAGCCAACCATCTCAACTTTCCATCTGCTGCCAAGTAACTGCACATCCTAGTGACATGCAATCTGCTGCTATGTAACTGCACATCCTAGTGACATGCAGTCTGCTGCCACGTAACTGCACATCCTAGTGACATGCAATACAAATCACAAAATTGCACTCCAATTTTTATGGCATTTTTCAAGCTGAAAACATTCTCAACTTATTTCCATGTTGTTCTTATAGCTTGAGGCATCAATTTTTCTTAAAAAACAATATTTAATTAAAACTCAGAAGCTTTTAATTAAAATTCCAAGAAACAACTAGTTTCCCAGCAATTCTCTGTGGATAACTGAACTCCGGGAAGTAACACTTGGGTCTTTGCTATTGTTCAAGGCTTCGTTTTGATCCTAGTCAGTAAACGTAAAATTCACTATCTTTAAGTATCATTTTTTAAAAAGTTTTACAAACTTTTGTGTAGGGTGTGTGTTTGTGTGTGGGTTCAGTAAAGCATATGCTAGGATGCTCATGAGGAGGACACAGGACAACCTCAGGTGTCAATCCTTTTCTTCCTTCTTGTTGGAGAGACAGGGTCTGTTGTTTGGTGCTACATAAGCAGCCTCGCTGACCTGAAGTGTTCTGCATCTCTCCTGTTTCCACCTCCCATCTTATCCTCATGCAAGCACAGGAGAGAACAGATACACACTATGGTTCCAGCTTTCCATGGGTCCTGGGGGTTCCAACTCAAGTCTTCATACTTACACAGCATTCTCGCAAACCCTTCATATGCAAAGACTATTCAAGCATGCATGTTTTGAGGTTTTTGAGTAATCTGTGAAAGAGTCATCACCATAACCCTAACTTTGACTTACTTCAAAATCTTTTCATGTACTTACTGTAACATTGGTGCTGGTCTGAACTCTCATCTGTGAGTAAAGATGAAAACGAGTTAGAACTTCAGTAAGAATAAGAAAGCTATGGCAACACACAGTATCCCTAGATTTTTCTCCCTTGACATCTCACCCGCTGAGAGAATTTCCTCCCCACTTCATCCTCAGAGTCACCTAACTGTGAAGTAACACAACTTGGTTTGCAGGAATCAAAACTTTCACTTCTATGACTGGTGCTTAACCACAGCGTCCTCTTGATATTATTATTATTATTATTATTGTTATTATTATTATTATTATTATTATTTTCCTTTCACAAGCAAATACCTCATTTTTTAGCTATTCAGAACAATATTTGTTATGAAAAGTTAGAAATGCAAAACAACAAGGACAAGAGTGGCCCAAAGAGTGCTAAATAGAGCAATAGGGACAAATAGACCATGTAGAAAAATACAGCACATTTTATTTGAGAGACTTCTCTTCAAGTTACTTGATAACTTTGAAACATTCTGTCTAGTGGCCCTCCACAAAAGCATCTATGAATGGTGTCCTGGGCACCGGGTTATGTGCCATATATATGTCCTGTGCAGAGAACTAGTAGGTAGCAGTGTCTCACACCCTGGATGCACTACTGCCAGGATGAAGGCAAGCAGCTGAGGTATCGCAGGGATGCAGATTCTTTGGCATCATTCAAATGGCTTGGAAATGGCTTTCCCGAAGGAATATGTTATGTGAACAAAAAAAGTAGGGCAAGGAGAGTTCTGGGATTGTCTTTCTTGGAAGCCACAGACCATCTTTCATCAGAAGAGTGCCAAGATGCCTTCTACTCAGGGTTTTATTTCTGGATGGAAAGGCGTTTAACCACAGGCTAAAGGGCTGTGGTTTCCTCTTTTACTCTCTGTGGCGGTTAGCATCCTCAGCTTGAAGAATCTCCTAGGAGATGGGAAAACTGAGAGGGATAATTTAGACTAAGGTTTGCCTCCTCTGAAAATGTCTATGAGGGATTGTCTTGATGGACTAATTGATATATGAAGACCGATCTCTATCACTCCCTGGGCGGGATAGGCGGCACCATTCCCTGGGCGGGGCCACTCCCTGGGCGACAGAAGATTGCAAAAGCAAGTTGCACACAGCAGCATTTAATGTTCTCTTCTGACACCTGACAGTTAGCTGCTGCTTCAAGCTCCTGCTGCCTTGACCCGAGCATGGCGATGGGCCATGCTTCAATCATGAGTCAGAAGAAACCCTTCTTTCTTCAGTGGCTTTTGTCGGATATTTAATTTCGATGGGAACAACTTAATTAATGTTATCTTCCTTTCTTCATCACCTTCTGCAGGAATTGTTATTAATGCTATTTCCATTCTGTTGTCACCAAGAAAATCCTTAACATGACTCTTTATTCCTCAGGTAAAGTCTAAATTATGTGTTTATCAATTAAAAGATATTTGGAGTTATTAATGACTGCTTTAAAAAAGTGGTCACTGTGGCCTCCACAGGGATTCATAGGATTTCCTCCCATAATGAATCATCAGTGCTTAAGGAACGTAACATGAAAAATAGTATTTGTTTCGAGTGTATCAAATCTTAACCTAATTTTAAGGCAGTTTTTTCTCTCCAGCCCACTGTGTGTGTGTGTGTGTGTGTGTGTGTGTGTGTGTGTGTGTGTGTATGGATGGGGGAGATCAAGAATGTGTACGTATGGTACATGCAAATGTATACAAGTGTGTGTGGATGCTTGTACATGTGTGTGCACCCACGGACAAAGGAAAACATAGGTGTTCTACTCTATCACCATCAAACCTTACTTCTTTAAAACTGGGTCTTTTCTCTGAACCCCGAAGCTCCCCACATTCAGTTATACTGGCTGCCCAGTAAGCCCAGGATCCACTTGTCTCTAATTCCCCAACTAGTATGGTGGTTAGATACATGAGTAAGCTAGTTTTAAATTCTATCTATCTATCTATCTATCTATCTATCTATCTATCTATCTATCT